ACTGATAACCTCGAATACCCATGGATCATTGATTCCGGTAAGTCAACATTGTTTCAAACATATTCTCTTCTCTTTGGGAGAGATAAAGTGAGGCTAGCAGATGGATCATTCTTCTCCATTGCTGGTCAAGGATCTATATATCTGCCTTTTGGCCTCTCCTTATCTAATGTCCTACATGTTCCTAAGTTACCTATTAATTTGTTATCCATTAGTAGTATTACTCATACATTGAATTGCTTAGTAACCTTTCTTCCTCATTCTTGTGTTTTTCAGGATTTAGCTACCGGGAGGACGATTGGTAAAGAGAATATGGTGCTACTAGAGAACTCTCTTGGCTCTCACGTTCTTTTCTTCTTCTTCTCTTCTCCTTCTTGCTGAAAACAAAACACATGCATACCCTAGAAAAATGCACTTTCTATATTTGGGTTCAAAGTTGTCTTTGGGAACTAGGAATGTGAACAAAGTGCATCCAAAACATGTAAGGGAATGGAGACAAGGTTTGGAAAAAGGACACTGAAGAGAAACTTGGACTCCCAAACCCTTGAAGACATACAATTAATAAGATAAGAAGCTATCATCCCTGCATCACTCCAAAATCTTACAAGGATGTGGGAAGCCAAAAAGATACTCCTAGAAACTTTCATATTGTGTTGGTTCTTTCTTTTTGCCACCTCATTTTGCTCAGGGGTGTGAGCATAAGAGCTTTGGTGAATAACTCCAAACTTCTCAAAGTAAGAGGTAAGATCCCTCTAAAAATATTCCTTAGCAATGTCTGATTGGAATATTTTGATTAAGGTGTCAAACTGGGTAAGCAGAAATTCATGAAATTGTTGAACAAGTTTGGGTACTTAAGCACGACAAAGTGTAAGATAAAGCCAAGTATAGCAGGAAAAATCATCAATTAACAGATTAAAATATTTGTAGCCTCCCATGCAAGGTAAATGGTAAGGCCCCCACACATCAGAGTGGACAATGTTAAATGGAAAAGTGGATCTTTTATTACTCACATGATAAGAGTTTCTGCAATGATTTAAAAACTCAGAAGACTCACAATGTAGACTTGATAAACTGACTCCTTCAAATAATGTAGAAAACAAAAGCTTTAATGAAGAAGCTGGGATCCTCTTGAATTTGGATTCTTCAAATTAAACTTTGATGGGAGCAGCTATGGTAACCTGGGTGTGGCTGGAATTGGTGGGGTCCCAAGAGATGACATGGGGAAAGTAGTGGGGCTGTATTTGGGCCCTATTGGATGGGGAGACTCCATTACAGCTGAACTAAAAGCAGTGGTCTTTGGAATACCAAAAGCCATGGAAATAGGTGTGAGAAAGCTGGTTGTAGAAGGAGACTCCAAAGTAATTATAAGCTGGCTAAAGCAGAATGGAAAGACTCCATGGGTGTTCAGAAATGAGATCAAGAAACTTAATCACATTATCAAGGACATGCATTTATTATTTCAGTGGACTCCAAGAGCAGCAAATGGGTTTGCGGACCAGCTAGCGAAGCAAGGGCTAATAGGGAACATTGTTTTTGGGCTCTTTTGTAAGGATGTAAAGCAAAATCTTAGGTGGAATTTTAAAGGATAATGGGGTAGCCGAGGATACTCATTTTCTGTACTAATTCTCATATCATTTTCTTAATAAAATTACCTTTACTGATAAAGAAAAGCTTTAATGAAGAAAAAGAAAGAGACCTAGATGATAATGACATAACATGACACGACCGACTCTAACACTGTTGATCCAAAAGATGATTTTTGAGGCTTTACTGGGCTTTGTTCAAGCATGTCTAACAGATATATCCCATTCACCTCATGGCCATTCCCAATCACCTTCGAAGATTTCATGTCCTAAAAAAACACAATAAGAAGCGAAAGGGTTACACTATAGTTTAGAGATTAAGTTAAATTACTAGCTGAAAGCATATTAGTATTAAGTTTTGGCACATGAAGTATAAAGGTCAAATTAAGGGAGTTTGAGGTTTTGATGTCTCCTTTGCTTGAGACAGAGGCAAGGGAAATTTTATCACGACCAGATAAAAGTTGGTAGGTAATGAATAAAGTGGAAACACCAGTCATATGGTCAGAAGCACCATAATCTATTATGTAGAGGATCCTATGATTAGGGGTGTCCACAGTTCGGGTAACTAAACCACGGACAATTTTTGCATTACTGAACCGGTACCACCGGTTAACCGGTCTGCTGGTTTTGGTTTTTGACCAGTTCGGTTCTTCAGTTTTTTGGTTTTTCATATTTATAATATATTATATAAATATGTGTATAATATTATATTATAAATAATAAATGCTATATAATATATTATAAATACTATAAAATATATAATATATTTATAAATAGATTATTATAAATATAATATATGTATATATTTATATATAATGAATTATACATATTTATATATATAATGAATATATATTTGTATATAATATATAGAAAATATGTGACATATATNTATATAATATATTTATAAATAGATTATTATAAATATAATATAAGTATATTTATATATATAATGAATATATATTTGTATATAATATATAGAAAATATGTGACATATATTAAAAATATATAAAATATACATATAAATATATATATCGGTCGGTTCGGCTAACTGCCACTTTTTTTGTAGGTTATCCAAAAACCGAACTGGTCCTTTAGTTTTTCAAAAATACCAAAACGAAGCCGAACTGATCGGTTCGGTTAACCGCATTTTCCGGTTTGGTTCGGTTTTTCGGTTTTTCATGGACACCCCAACCTATGATTATCTGAGATAGAAGCATGGTTCATAATGGCACGAATACTTGAGTGAGCATAGGCAAAAGTGGAGCCTTTGCTTGGTGAAGTGGGTGCCTGCTTTGATACGTAGAAGAAATATAATCCAGCAATTATCCTGATATTAGAAAAGAAAAAATAAAGGAGGAAGAAGTTATTCAGGAGAAAGAGAGAGAGTGGAAGCAAAAAGGAAGGGGAGGAGAGCTGAATCGTATCTCTCTCTATCACACAAGTGATTTATATATGCTGAATAAAAGAATAAACAAAATTACATGGGTGCCCCTAGTTAGGCAGCTGACTCAAAGCACATAAGAAATAATAAGTTTTGAGGTCCATAAAGAAGGCCCACTACAGCTGAAATAAAGCTACTGAATAAATAAACAAAACTAAGGTCCATTCAGCCCAATATCTCTTTACACCTTTGTTTTGAAAACATATTGGATGGTCTAGGATATGGACTTGGAGCCTTTATTTTTCGAAGAGAGATTATAACGTTGATCATTTGAGGTCTTCCTTCTTTATAGAAACAGAAAGTATTTCATTAATATAAACATGCATATACATAGGATTACAACTGGGGTATGGGTACCCTTAAAAACAGATGGAACAACAGAAACCAATGCAGTCACTACCTATCCATCAACATACAAAACTCCCTGCCCAACCCTTGCCCACAGGAGTAGTTGCACACTCACACCTTAAAACAACGTAGCCCAAAATTACTGTTCCCTTTCAACCCCTTGCCTTGATAGAGAATCTGCCATCCCATTAGCAACCCTTGGAACCCAATGAAAAATTACTGTTACATTTCTCAGTCTCTCAGATGCCACTTGGTCTTCTTTACCAAATCTTGGTAGCTCCAAGCTGCCTTCTTTTCATTCTTTAACAAAATTACCACTACATGGGAGTCTTCTTCTATTAACAGCCTTCTTAAATTAAGATTTTCTGCTAATTGGACTCCATACCATACAGGAGATAGTTCAGCCTTAGTTGAATTCCCTTGGGCAATAGGATCCGAAAATAAAGCTAAGATAATTCCATCTTTATCCCTGAATACCCTCCTATGCCTGAAGGGCCTGGGTTGCTGAAACAGCTCCCATCAAAATCGAGTTTTACAAAGCTTTCTGGTGGTGGTTCCCAAAGCTGAACTCTTCTTGTCTTTCTTGTAGACGAAAAAGGCCACTTCCCTCCAATTCCTTTTTATGCCATCAAAGGAAAATGGAGAGAACAGATCCAGGGGGTTAACCCAATGAATCACCCTTAGGAGGATATAGTCTAAAATTACATCCAGATTTCTCTCCTCATCTTTGAAGAGTCTCACATTTCTTTCTTCCCACATTGACCAAACAACAGTGGCCCTAGTGCATCTCCATAAGATTCTTCCTCTTTTCCTTGGACACCTAAAAAGTTCACCTGTAAACAGACTAGGTAAGCTTGTAGGTGGAATCCACCTGCACCCAAAGAGGTCAAAGAACCACTCCCAAATAAAGGATACCAATGAACAGGAAATTAGAATGTGATAAGCAACCTCGCTGTTTTCCTTACAGAGTGTGCACCAATTAAGGGATAAAAAAACATTTTTTTCTTCTCTTTTGCAGCATATCCAAAGTGTTGTTCCATGAAAGACCTCCCAACAAAAGCCTCTGGTTTGCACCAAACCTCATTCACTGGAAATGAAGGTCCTAAAGGAGCTTGAGCAATTAAGGAACAAAAAAAGGAGGCACAAGAGAAAGAGCCTTTAGGGTCCGGGATCCAAATTCTTTCATCTGGGGTGGAGGGGAACACAACAATTGAATAACGACTCCAATTACTTTGGTGTGCTAGGAAAATGGAAAATCTTTTGTCCTGGGCCTTTTACTATTGACTGAATAATGACTTCAATTACTAAATTCTATAATATCATGGTTAGGGAGATTCAATGCTTGGGACTTTGGTAAGATGAAGGGGTCTTCTAGACTATCTCATGCAAGCAAGGAAGTTGCTTCTTGCTCTCCTTATTGAACATCCCTTCCATTAGTGTGGCTAGATAAGTGAAACAAGTTTGCAATGATACTTGAGACAGCCTTTGATTTTCTCATCTTCTTTGATAACCTTTATTTTTTTTCTCATTTGAAATCTTCATAAGAAGAAGATTTTTCTTTCTTTCTTTCTTTTTGAACAATAACAAAAAGAGAAAAAAATGAAATTTCTGACTTTCATATCTGGAAACAGAGAAATGTGGGAAACATCAATGAAAGGTCTTGTAAGCTTGATTCGGAGAACAACACCCTCATCGTTTGCATACATCTGTGAGAAAAATGGAGATCATCTCTCAGACAAGGTAGTCTTTTAATACTGGAAAAGGAGCTCTCTATTGTACTGTCTGATGTTTCATTGTGGCTTTATATATGATTCTGTGGAGTTTTCAATGCTTTCTATATATGCAGATGGATGAATTAGCATGCTTTGCTCCAGGAATGCTGGCTTTGGGTTCATCTGGTTATGGTCCTGAAGAGGCTAGGAAATTTTTATCACTTGCAGAAGAGGTATCTTCAAATATTAGTCAGTGTTAGATTCTCAACAAGTTTGTTTTGAGGAGTTTTCCCTTATTCAATTTTTTGGATGAACACTTAACTCAGGTTAGGAATTCTTTGCAATAAACCTTCTGAAAATTGTCATACTAGATTATGGTTCCTTGCCAAACAAATGATAGAGCTGAACAAGAGCCTTTTGAGCAATTAGCTTTCCCAAGTAAAATAAAAGTAACAAATAGAGTAGTGTAATAGAGAACCTTGTATTAATTGAATCACAGGACAACTCATAGTAAACTAGGATTTATGATTTTAAATGCATAGATAAAAACATTGGTCCTCTAATCCTGTTTTTCTTCTGTTTTTTTTTTTAATTATGTAGTCCTCTAGTCCTTTTTCCGATAAAGAAAATATTTATTTTCTTTTTCTGTTTCCATGGTTGGGGGGTGTGAGGTGGAGTGGGTTGGGGTGGATAGTCTCTCTATAAGAGCAGTGCTTATACACTGAGAGACCACCTGGGTGAGGGGATTTGGTCCTTGGACCACTTCCTCTAGAACAAAGGTGGTACCCAGATCCTTTATTGTTCATGACAACAGCTACATCATTTTGATCTACCATAACTTTTTTAAATCATATCTATACCCCAGTAATTTAAAAGGAACTCTTAGGAACACAGGTGAGGTGCATTTTAATCGTGATCTACCTAACTTTTGTAACCATATCTATATCCCAGTTATTTAAAAGGCATGCCTAGTCACACATGCAAGGTGCATTTTAGGGTCTGTGCCTTGCCTAGGCCCAGGTTTAGCCCTTTTAAATAGGCACGTGCCTAGTGCACCTAGGAATGCACGTGGTGCACTTTGCACCTCTGCTTAGGCACGTGCCTTTGTTAATTCTTGCACACTCATTGAAGCTCCAATTATGGATATTTTCTAAAAGATGATTAAAATTATAAAACCATTTTTTGTAGGGATTAAGATTTAACAATTTAAGACTAACATGGATTTGTTTGGACTTGCCTCAAGGGACTTGGTACAAAGGCAGCTCATAGAATCAGGAATGAAATATGTTTAACATCATATTATCTATTTGAAATAGTGTAATTAGGGAATAAATAAAGAACTTGGAAGTTTGATCTAGTTGAATATGTTTTATATGCTATGATTATGCATTTATATTTGAACTAATAAGCTTTTTAAAATATTTAGTTTAAATTTAAAGTTTGTATTTTTAATATTTTCTTAATTTGTTTTGATTTTTTTACATTTTTTACATATTTTTTGAATTGTTTATTTTTTTTTATAAATTTTGGGCCTTGCGCCTCAGGCACAAAATCCCCTTTACACTTTTTTTTGTGCCTTGCACTTTTAAAACACTGCTCTACACATAAAAGAGAAACGGGAACTGTCATGTGATTTCTTCATATTGCCTTAGATTAATCATTGATTAGCATGACTTGTAAGGTTGCTTATAGGTGCATATCTAATTCAGAACTTGCTTTATTTGAACAATGGACATGCTTGAGCTTATAAGAATATCATAAATTATAAGATTCTCACAAAGATGGTGCAGGTGCTTCCTAGTGTTTTCAAACCTGCATTCACCTGGGCAATTGACTGGGTCAAAGTTTTTTTATTATTTCTTTTGTTAGGGGGGGGGGGGGGTTGACTGGTTGATGGACTAACCATTTTGCTAGTGTTCTTGGTTGTCAAACAGTCCAGTTTTAAAGTTGGAAACCACCTCTTCTAAGATAAAAGATAAGGCTGTGATTCAATGGAAACCACCAGAAAATCAATGTTTAAAGCTAAACTTTGATGGCAGCTTACTAGGCAATCCAGCACCAGCAGGAATTGGAGGTCTAATTAAATATGCAACAGGAGCTATCAAAGCTTTGTATTAAGGCCCTATTGGAGTTGTTGATTCAGTTAAGGAAGAAACAATGGTGGTACTACATGGGCTGAGAATAGCCAAGAACCTTGAAATCCAACTACTGGAGGTGGAGGGGGACTCCGGTGGTTATTTCTTGGTTAAGCAACAATATTCCAGGAGCTTGGGAGTATAGATAGACAATAAGGGAAATTTGATCTTTAGCCAATGAAGTGGGAGCTTCCTTCAATTGGAATGGGAGAACAGAAAATGGAATGGCAAGATTACTTGGCCAAGTAAGGGATATAATTGTTTTGGGCTGAATTGTAATAGGGCTGGCTGAAACCATAATGGACTGGACTATCATCCAGCTCTTGTACTCTTTCTCTTTTTGTCAATCTTTTAATGAAATTAATGTTAATAGTAAAAAAAAACAATCTAGTTTTAAAACATTGGTGCCTTCACAGATAGGGCAAAATCTCTTGCACTCATATTTGATTTTCTGCAGAAAAGAAGGCCTTCCTCCTGCCTCTCTCCTCATATGTGCTTTTTATGTAGGGATAGTGGACAGTCCCTATCCCGCTTAATAGTCTCCTGTTCCTTTGTACTTTTTATTTGGGAATTTTTTTGTTCTTTCTTTGGCTGCAGTTGGGATTCTCCCCAAGAGGTGATGGACATTTTAAATTCAAACTTCTTGAGGCAACAAAAGAAGAGAGGGAGAATAATGTGGAGAGCCACTAAGGCAGCTGTTGCTTGGGTAGTGTGGGAGGAAAGGAATGATAGAATTTTTGCTGGAAAAAGTAGAATTTTGGAGGAGGTAATTGACAGTATAAAAGTGAGGGTTGCCTTGTGGATAAAAATATTAGACAGTTTTCAGCTTTTCTCAGTAACTAACATCCTAAAGGCATGGAAGGATATAGCAGTCGTAGAGAAAAGGAAGAACTAAGAGTTGAGTGGATAACTCCAGAGGTTAACAAAGTAAAATTGAACTTTGATTCTTTGGGCAACCCGGGATTGGCAGGAATAGGTGGAGCAATCAGGAATGCAGAGTGTAAGATTGTGGCTCTATATTCAGGTCAATTGGCATTACAAACTCAGTAAAGGCTGAGTTACTGGCTTTACTGAAGGGACTCTGGCTAGAAAAGCAACTGGTTTTCGACAGGGAGGTGGAAGGAGATTCAAAAGTAATTATTTTTTGGGCAAGATGTAACAGACATATTCCATGGACCCTTACACATTTCTTCAGGGAAGTGGAATGATTAGTAAAGGATATAAATACTGATTTCAGGTGGATTAGAAGTGCAAATGGGCTAGCAGCAAATACTTTGCCAAACAAGGGGCTGCAAGGCAGCATCTATATTGTGCCTCATTGTAATCCTGGGTTTGTTTCTTGGGGGGATGACAGGTCATCTTTTTTTGTACTTAATCCCATATATTTTTACTTAATAAATCAATCTTTGTTGCTGATAAAAAAAGGGCTCTTGCACTCATTGATGCTGTTGATAGCTTACAGAAAATTATTGCTTTTTATACATTAACCAGATTCCTTCGTTCTTCTGTTTATTTTCTTCTATTTTCATTTTGTGCAGCTTGCTTGGACTTGTTATAACTTTTACCAATCAACACCAACAAAATTGGCAGGAGAGAACTACTTCTTTCATGCTGGACAGGTTAGATATGTGGATTCTCCTGTTGTTATTGTACATGATAGGATCATGATCTGACGTTGCTTGTTCAATTTATGCACAATTGGCAGGACATGAGTGTGGGTACATCATGGAACATATTAAGGCCAGAGACAGTGGAATCCCTCTTCTACCTTTGGCGTTTAACTGGGAACAAGACATATAAAGATTGGGGTTGGGACATATTCCAAGCTTTTGAAAAGAACTCCCGCATAGAGTCTGGATATGTTGGGCTGAAGGATGTAAGTACTCCTCAAGTCCACTACTTTTTTAGACATATACCAATTTTCAAGTTCTCTCCCATTTTACTTGAATTGTTTTTAGGAAAAGTGAAAAAAATTTATGAGGTGATTCCTTCATCTCAATGGTAGGGTCTTGCTTTATTTCCTCTAGTCATGTTGTCTTGCATTGTCTAATTAAGTGTCCCTAACACAGAATATTGAATTCTCCTATGGTATGCTTCCCTTGGATGGTTGATAAGAGCATCTCTTATCTCAAACCATGTCACCATGCTTCAATGTTTTAGGCTTTGGGAGAAATTGCAGCTGTTAAGAAATGGCAAAATTTTCCAAAAATCTTGAAATTCCTTGATATTTTGCTAGAAAAATACAAAAATGTTTTCTTTTATTGTTTCCAAGAAGTTGAAAAACACTCCTGTAGTAATTCAGAAAACAAAAATCTTGAAATTCCTTGATATTTTGTTTCTAGAAAAATACAAAAAATGTTTTTTTTTTTTATTGTTTTCAATAAGTTGAAAGACACCTGTAGTAATTCAGAAAAAAATAGAAAAGGAGAAGAGAAGGAAGAAGAAAGAGAGATTTCAGCAGAAGTATGTAGAAGGAGATGAAAGAAGAAGAGAAGGGAAGAGAAAAGATAAGAGTTTGATCTCTTTCTCTCTAGTCCCCTTTTGATCTCATTTATTCTTTTAATTTTAATCTAAGTACAATTCAATGAGTGCCCATAATGGGGTGGCCAGCACTTAAAGAAACAATAAAAAACAAGTAACAGGCCCATAACTAAGGCCCACTACTCAAAGAACATAAACATAACATGACTTAAATAAAATAAAAGAAACTAAGGCCCATTCGGCCCATTCTCACTACACAAGACTATAGATTATTTAAATAGGCATATCAAGACACATAATAATACAAAAAGCAAAGCAACCATGTGTAAAATACATGTCCAATTTAGAGAAGAAAATTAATTCCTAATAGGCATATGGGATACCCTTTACATTCAGAACATCTGGCTATGGTTCTCTACTTCTCTTATCTTCTTTCTTAATCATTCAAAACTATATGTAATTTAATAAATCTAGATTCCAGCAATGTCTTAAAATGTGGAGGTGTGATGTGAGGTGTTTCTCTGCTGGGAGGCATGAGGCATAGTTCAGAACGTAAAAGGCATAAGCCTCCCAAGCACAAGCCTCCTTGAGAGGAAGGGGATGAGGAGGAAGGAGGAAGAAGTGCAAAGAAGAACATTTTTTTTTTATATGAAAGATGTCTTGTAAGAAAACTGAAAATGCATAACACTAGCTGAAAGGTAGAAAAGTGTCTTGTATTAAGAAGAATGGGATCTTTGTATTAAGAAAAATGAAGATACATAACACTAGCCAAAGGAAACTCATAATTCCTTTCCACACACATACCTAGGGGTGAGCATGGGTTGGTACGGTTCGATTCCATGGTAGAACCTCGAAGGTCAGTTCTTGGTTTTTTGAACTGGAAGCCTACCTTGTGAAGGTGGGTTCTAGGGTCTACCCATGGAACCTCTTCTTTCTAAACAAAAACATGTTCTTTAAAAACTTGATTTTCAATAAATATAATATATATTTTAAAACTTATGTTATCTTTATTGATTAAATTAAGTAATTTAATATGTAGGTTATCATAATATATGGTTCAAAACATATCATTATGATTTAAATTTTGTAAACATTACCATTTTCATTACCTATTATACACATTCAAATATTAAAATGAAAAGAAATGATCAAATCACTTAAGTAACTCCATCGTCAAGTGAGACCATGGCCTTTGTAACCATGAGTGCTTGGGTTCAAATGTTCACATCCTCAAAAAGTATTTTGGGGTTTATTTCAAGGCAAGTTCGGTACCAAGGCCAGTTCATCGGGTTGGTTTGGATAGGGTAAACCGCTAGACCCTAGAACCGGCCTGGGTAGGGGTCAATTCCAAGAATTTGGAACCCGACCCTACACTGTAACAGATTGGGTGGGGTCGGTTCAAGGCCAGTTTGAGGTCAGTTCCATTCAATTCTGGGTAGAACCTACCCATTTGCTCTCCCCTACACATACTCCATAAGAAGATTTCACCTCCTTTTCCTACGCAAAACCCACTACACCATACTTGCAAATCACCATCTTTGTCCAAAGAGCATTCCTTTCAATACCAAACCTCCATAACCAATTTACCTAACAATGCCTTATTATTGAATATTTTAACCCTCCTAATCCCCAACCCTCCATTCTTCTTATCCCTACATACCTACTCCCATTTGACTAAGTGAATTTCTTTTCTAATCCTTTAATGCCCCAAAGAAAGTCCCTCTGCATCTTCTTGATTGAATTTTCCACAGATAATGGAACATTAAGCAAAGAAAGATAATACACAAGCAGATTAGACAAAACACCTTTTATTAGTGTTATTCTCTCCCCTGAGGACAAGTTTTTCCCTTTCTATCCTGCTAATCTCTGATCAATTCTATCCAAAACCGATTGCCATGTTGATGAAAGAGATGCTTTTGCACCTATCAATAGTCCCAAGTATGTGAATGGAAATTCCCCCTACCAAACATCCCAAAGATGCTGCACAATCTTCTAGGCATGGTTGGGTCTATGTTTGGTAGATGTTAAAGCTTTTGTGGTTGACTGCATCACAAGTTCCTCTGAGACTAGGGGAGAATTCCTATACCCCCTAATGCTTTGGAGTTTGGACCTTTCCTCTAGTAATATTTTGCCAAATTTTTGAGTTGAAAATATGTTGCTAAAAGTCTCTTTAGGCCCTGAGGTACAGTAAGGGGCTATTTGCTAGCACTCTTAAGCTGTGCATAATCCTCTTCGCTTCTACATTTTTCTCATTAATAATATCAAGAGTATCCTCTCTAGTAATTTGTAATGATAAAAAATAATGAGTAAATAAATAAAAGCTCAGAAAAAATTTTTTATGGATTTGTATTGTAACAAGGGCTCTTAGGCTGAACATGAATGTATATTGTGGTGATTGGGAGAGAGAGAGAGAGAGAGAGAGGAAGAGAGAGGTACGATTGAGAGGAAAAAGTTACTATTGGCTGCTGCTAGTTTTCTATTTATATTAACTTCATAAAAGAATTAGAAATTACAAGTATGCCCCTGGTGGCATATCCTAGAATCAGAATAATAAGAAAAAAGAAATAAGTAATTGTAATTGTCCAACAACCTACTAACAACAGCTATAAAGTAACAATTAAGTAAGCCTTACAACACTCCCCCTCAAGTTGGGCTGAAGATGTCTATCATGCCCAGTTTGTCACATAACTCATTGTGCCGCGAGCACGGCAGCCCCTTTGTAAGGACATCAGCAAGTTGTTCCTTGGAGTTGACATAAGGGATGCAAATTTCTCTTTTTTCCAGTTTCTCCCTTATGAAGTGTTTATCCACCTCAATATGCTTGGTCCTCTCATGTAGGACTGGGTTGCTGGCGATGTTTATTGCAGCCTTGTGCTTAACTGTGAACACCCATTTGCACCCCACGGGGTCTTTCCCCTTTGGAGGATCCACCTATTCCCAAGTCTGATTTTTGTGGAGGGCATTAATCTCCTCCTTCATGGCATCTACCCATTCAGGGCATTTTACGGCTTTTGCAACATTTTTGGGAACAGGGGTGCAATCAACTGCCGATAGGAAGGCTCAGTACGAGGGAAGAGATACCTGAACCTGCTTCTCTTCTACACTACGACTCTCTCCCTGAGGAGGAGGGAAGAATGGCTCGGACTCAAAGGACACATCCATAGACAAAAAATTTACGACTAATTGGGTCAAAGCACTGATACCCTTTTTGAGAGGAGGGGTACCCCAGAAAGACACAAGGAATGGACCGAGGTCTAACTTACCTCGGGATGGAGACAAATCATGGACAAAGGCCTGACAACCAAAGATTCTCATGGGGATGGAAAATAAAGGAGACTGAGGGTACAATAACTGATGAGGGGCCATGTAGTTCAGTACTTTGGAGGGCATGCAGTTGATGACATACGCTGCTGCAAGTATAGCATCCACCCAAAACCTTTTTGGGACATTCATGTGTAACATCATCCCGCGGGCTACCTCAAGAAGGTGTTTGTTTTTCCTTTCTGCAACACCATTTTGTTGTGGTGTTCTGGCGCATGAGCTCCTATGAATGGATCCGTGGGAGGCGAAGAACTCATTGAGCTCCCCATGGAAGTATTCCTTCGCATTATCAGATTGGAAGATCTGTATTTCAACATGGAACTGCGTAAACTCCATCCTCTGGAAATCTTTTACTATCTTCGAAACTTCGTCTTTGCTACGCATAGGAATTACCCATGTATAGCGAGAGTAATCATCGATCAATGTAATAAAGTACTTATATCCGCCCTCAGAGATTCATTGGTAGGCCCCCATATATCAGAATACACAACATGAAAATGAACATTTGATCTTTTATTACTTGAGTGAAAAGTTGTTCTACATTGTTTGCTCAACTGACACG